ATTGGTCGGCTATGTCTTACCGCAGCGTGCTTTAGAATGGTGGAATTCACGACTAGCTGAAGGCACCTCATGAGTTTCCGACAGTGTGTCGTCTATTCCACCTACCACGGGCACGACAAAGCAGCGATAAGACATAGTCTACCAATCACGCTCCGTCGTTTGAGCTATGTCCGCCAAACGAACACAAAAGGAGGGGTATCGATAAGGGCCTTTTTTGCCCCTTCTAGAATCTGGAAATTTATGCGGGTTTTCCAAGCTGGCTCAATGTAGTTTACGGAAATGATCATGATTTAGCCCATAGGTCACTGCATACGTGTTAAACGGTTGCCTAAACATAGGTCTGCAGGCGTATTTTAGCGAAAATTCGTGTTTTTCTATCACTCCGAGGCCTTTTCGACACCGAGCGCATCGTCTAACTAAAACGAGCTTTTGATATGTTATTAAGGAGGCTTTGGGACACATTTTAACCCTGGTTTGGTTTTAGTTAGATGATGCGCTCATAGTTAAAAAAAAACTTTTTTCGAAAATCGACGTTTAAGGGACATCTCCAAAAATCCTAGGGAAACACGTCTCTCGAACTGTATGCACGCTAAGTATATTATCGAGGGCAGTTATCAAGCCTTATTAGACTCTTACAAGGAGATTTACTTCTATTGTGTCCAAAAAAAATTGAATTTTCCGTGCAAACAGCTATGAAGATAGAGGATTTTGGAGTAGTGGAGGCATATTTTCACTAAGAGCATAACATCAACTTAAATCTGGAAATTTATGAGGGTTTTCCGAGTTGACTCATTGTAGTTTACGGAAATAATCATGATTTAGCCCATAGGCCACTGCATACGTGTTAAACGGTTGCCTAAACATAGGTCTGCAGGCGTATTTTAGCGAAAATTCGTGTTTTTCTATCACGCCGAGGCTTTTTTAACACCAAGCCCATCGTCTAACTAAAACGAGCTTTTGGTATATTATGAAGGAGGCTTTAGGACACATTTCAACCCTGGTTTGGTTTTAGTTAAATGATACGCTCATAGTAAAAAAAAACTTTTTCAAAAATTGACGTTTTAGGGACATCCGCAAAAATCTTAGAGAATTACGTCGTTAGGTTTTTTTTTTTTGGACACAATAGAAGTAAATCTCCTTGTAAGGGTCTAACAAGGCTTGATAACTGCCCTCGATAATATACTTAGCGTGCATACAGTTCGAGAGACGTGTTTCCCTAGGATTTTTGGAGATGTCCCTTAAACGTCGATTTTCGAAAAAAGTTTTTTTTTAACTATGAGCGCATCATCTAACTAAAACCAAACCAGGGTTAAAATGTGTCCTAAAGCCTCCTTAATAACATATCAAAAGCTCGTTTTAGTTAGACGATGCGCTCGGTGTCGAAAAGGCCTCGGAGTGATAGAAAAACACGAATTTTCGCTAAAATACGCCTGCAGACCTATGTTTAGGCAACCGTTTAACACGTATGCATTGATCTATGGGCTAAATCATGATCATTTCCGTAAACTACATTGAGTCAGCTTGGAAAACCCGCATAATTTTCTAGGAGGGGGCCAAAAAAGGCCCTTATCGATACCCCTCCTTTCAAGAAACGGTCCGCTTCGCCGGTTGGCGGCGCGGTGGACTGCCGCAGTGCCGCAGTCGAATCGGAAGACAGCGTCAGAAATCAGCCGTAGACATTGATCGTCATTCCCGGAGAAGACTGGTTCCCGGCTCCGATGTGAATGAACCAACGATCTAAAACCCCTTTACTCTCTCGTTCTCGGAAGCGCGTCTCATGCTCTGAGATGGTCTTCCGTCCAGCCCCCCTGCCCCCTCCCTCCTTCAGAACACTTGCGGTCTTGAAGACGTTGCATTCCTATCGTTTACTCTTTCCGTTTTTTCACCGATACTCTTCGACGCCTCACAGTCACCGGGACGCAGCTGTGAAAATTGGACTACATTTTGCAATAACGAACAACGGTAGCTTAATTTTAGCCTTAATTTAGCTCTGCCTCACTATATAGAAACAATACATCGACGGTGTAAGTCGCGACGGTGTAAGTCGCGGCAATCACATAACTCGATTTGCGACGTCGCAGACTTCCTGTCATACTTTATTTTTTAAACGGAATACTACTCTACGGCTATCTTTTAAAACTGTCTTGATTTTTCTTATCTGTGCGAAGAAAATTCTGCAAAGACATGGAATGATGTCAATTTGTTCTCCGTTAGAAAAATAACAGAGGCGGAGATTTTCAGACACCGCAAACGAGTTACCTATGTGATTGCCGTCTTACACCGTCGATATGCAGTATAACGTGGTTTGCAGCGCTGCAAACTTACCGTCATTGTGTTTACTTTCAATGTGGCAATATCTATCATTTCTTTTCTTTTTTTATTAGAAAATTCCCTCTTTTTATTCTTTCTGTGTGAAATATAATTTCAATGTGTTCTGTCGGTTTGCTGTATGTCCTTTTATCATATGAAATGGGGGCGGACATTTTGAAGCGTGTCACGCATCTTTGCAGTTTAAGCATCGATATTTGTCTATAATTTCCCTGTAGAAGTAGGTACTTATCTTGATGATCCAAAAACAACTCAGTTAATTCCTCGTCAAAGAATTTAGTCCAGTGTATCGATTCCTGGACAAAGGGACGTAACCCCATTTTAATGCTGTAAAATTGCCTCAACCAATTCAACTATTTGCACCCGTACCTGTGAAATTTTTGTCTAAAATGTGTCCACTTTTCACATGATGAGAGGAAAAATTAGGGACATTTTCAGTCGGTGACGTCCAACATTCTCCTGATAATAATGCAATTTTTAAGGGGAAAGTTAGCAACATAAAAAGATGTTTTTTTCTTTTGTGTGCGGATCGAGTGATACATTGAGACAGTCCACAGGAAAGAAGTGAAAATTTACAATTTTTCGAACTGTCCAACCTGTTTCTGCTCACTTTGCGTCTAAAAAATGTGAGAGTTCCTCTAGATTTTTAATCCCCAAAGACCAAAGGATTTTCACTCATTATTTCATTTAAAAATTATTTGCATGCGGGTTTGCTCGGTTCGCTATAAATTCCACATGAAGTTGACATGTTATACAAAAACAATTGCATATGACGAACAATATATGAATCTCACCCAAGTAGCATTTTGCAATGAAAAAATTGCAATTTAATTGAAATAAAATTTCCAGATGATTTCAATTTTGTTGCAAGAAAATTGCAATTATTTTACAACATCTGACCCCCTCATTGTAAAAAAGTTGCAATTTTCTTGCAAGGAAATTGCAATATTGTCGACCTCTAAATTTCAACCCCTAAATTTTCCGGGGAAAATTCAGGGCTAAAAATTAAGGGGAAAAGGTTTTTTTTAAAAAAATAAATATTTAAAAAATGGCTACGTTTAACACTAAAGTCTTTTTTAACATTAAACTAACAAATGGAAAATGATATGGTGCAGTTATTGGTTACACAGCAAATTTTACACCAATTTGCTGCTGGGAATTACTGCTTTAATTTACTGCTAGAAATGATTTGAATCAATTTTACGACCTTCTATAGTAGTGTTGGTAATACAACATTATGTGATGTCAAAGAAAAATTCAAAGTTATCATAAAAAACAAACTTTTATTTATAAAACGAGACATAATTTTAGAAATTTTTAAAATTCGAAAAGAAGTCAACAAAATTAAAGCCTCTAAGTAAATAAACTCAACTCAGAATTCAATAACTGTACAGAAACAAAATTAGAATAAAAATGCAAAGGAACGAAAAGAAGAAAAAAATAAGAAAAATAGACCAAAAAAACTAAAAACTTTAGTTCTTCTTTTAACCGGTGGCACCAAAAAAAAAACTCTGAACTTTCACAGAAAGCAAGAGCATTCACGTTAAACAAAGGAACACATAAATTAGCTTACATGAAAATAGTGGATGTCAANAAAGAAGTCAACAAAATTAAAGCCTCTAAGTAAATAAACTCAACTCAGAATTCAATAACTGTACAGAAACAAAATTAGAATAAAAATGCAAAGGAACGAAAAGAAGAAAAAAATAAGAAAAATAGACCAAAAAAACTAAAAACTTTAGTTCTTCTTTTAACCGGTGGCAACCAAAAAAAAACTCTGAACTTTCACAGAAAGCAAGAGAGAGAGAGTGAATACAATAAACTTGAAATCTTAGGTGAGAAAAAGAAATTTATATGGCATGTTTCTAGAACCTAAGAATTAGCTATACTATTACCACAGTCCAAATGAGAGCAAAAAAATAGCCCAGAAACAAAATTGAAATAACACTTGAGAGTTACACAGTACCTTTAAACAATTAGAACCAATAAGAAAAAGACTTGAGCATTCACGTTAAACAAAGGAACACATAAATTAGCTTACATGAAAATAGTGGATGTCAAAAGGCTCTGCTTCAGTACATGACAGAGCATACGTATCTGAGGAATTTCAAATAGGGTGGCTTGTATATTGACTTCAAGCAGTTTTTCATGTCTATTAAGAAGTTGCCACCAAGAGCTCCTTACATAATATTATCTAATTAGGACAGTAAAAAAAAGGACTAGTGACCAAAAAATTTAGCTCATCGAGTCAGAAAAAGACAAATAAAATTAATTGCTAAGACAGTTGTACAATGATCAAACTGACAAAAAAAAACCAATCAGTCAAATGAAATGATCTTTTAATGATCATGTTATGACTATTAGAAGCAATTAAATTAGACAAAGAAATAGTAGTTTCTAAGTGGCTAAAGTCAATCAGTCTTCGAAAGTAAAATGAATAGGAACCAAGGTAATAAGGTAACAGCACCAGTACCCGGAATGGTACCTGCTCAGTTTTTCGTAAAAAATAAGCGGTAGGTACATCAGTGCAAAAAGGGCATCAGGTTTTCACAAATTACACTCAGAGGGCGCCACCTTGCAATAAGTGTGATGGTCGTGCGCTCCTTCTATTATCTGTACCATGCTTCTATAGTGACGTATTCACAGAGCGGTTCGTTCTGTTAATACGTCACTATAGAAGCATGGTACAGATAATAGAAGGAGCGCACGACCATCACACTTATTGCAAGGTGGCGCCCTCTGAGTGTAATTTGTGAAAACCTGATGCCCTTTTTGCACTGATGTACCTACCGCTAGCTGTAAACAGCATTCTCCGTTACATTTACAGCAATCTCAAAAGAGGAAAATTAACGCTCTGTGTCTTCGTTGACTTGAGCAAAGCCTTCGACATAGTGAACCATGAGTTACTGCGTGCCTCGCTATACGAGTTAGGGGTAAGTGGGACAGCGCTAAATTTGTTGGCCTCCTATAAGTTGCAAAATAAAATAAATAAATAAAATATTTTTTACGAAAAACTGAGCGACGTTCCGGATACTGGTACCATTCCGGGTACTGATGCTGTTACCTTAAATAAGAAAATAAAATTAGTTTCACTTTTGACAATTATAAGAGAATGCCAATCTCATTCAGTTCAGTTCTTTTTTGCAGGGATTGGGTTGCAGTCAACTAAAAACTGTTTTAGTGTTTTTTCGACCTGTTCTTCAAAGTCAGCACATCGGCTTCTCCAAACTGTACGCACAACACCTGTAGAAAAAAAAGGACTAACAAAATTAGAACAGACTTGATAATATAAAATACTGCAAATGACTTAGTAAACTCGAAAGATCCAAAATCTAAAAATCCAAAGGGACCCTAGAGTTATCTCATCGGAAAGTGCCATGATACATTTTTTTGTGAATGAGGTGTGAACGGAATTCAGTAAGAAAAAACCAGAAGTAAAAGGGGTTTTCGATTATCTGTGGTTCTTTTCGGAATGGCTTGATCTAATTACTATTTCAGGGTGTGTACCAATCGGACTAAACAAATATCAGGGCTTTTCGAGAACTTTCGGGCCCATTTTTCAAAAGCCATGCTTCCTGAATTGTCAGCCAATTTTTCGGAAAGCTTGGCATGAAAATATGAAGATTTTCGGTGCCGTATGAGTGAAAATTGCTGCCTCTTCCAAAATTGAATACCTTAGGGGTCTTCAGTGCTTTTCGGTGCCTGGTAGACACCCTGCATTTGCAAGTAATCTTTTTTAAAATAACTATAATGAAGAATTAGTGGGAAAGTGAGTACAAAAATGAACTTACTCAACACAAGTTTATATGTAGCCAACGTTTCAAAGTTTAGCTTCGTTGGGGCATTCTTCTTATTGCCATGTCCTCCTTTGAGTGAGAACTGCGCTGGGATAGCATCCTTGCCAATCAATTCTTTAACCAAATTTCTGGCCGTTTTGGTGACGTAGGCATCATGACGAAACTGCCAAGCAAACGTTTTCTTCTACAACAGAAAAAATATAGAAAAACATGACTAAAAATAAGGGAGAGAGATGGTCTCAAGATTAACTTATCTTATTCTCTATCTTTTGTTCTGTCAAAAACTTCACACTTTCAACAGCCATCCCTTTACCTTTAAATGGATATTTCAGTGCAGAAAAATCAGTTAGCATACCTGAGGAACAAAATTGAAAGAAGTTTCTATAACTAGTAAAATACTTTGTCGATAGGCCATCTTTTAAACTTTAATTACTTACAAAGGGAGGGTCAGAACCCTTCCCTGAGCTGAAATTTTTTACATGGATTCTTTGTGGATTATTATTAGACCTGCATTTTTCTTTTAGCTGAACGGGCCTTAGGGACTGCATAAAAAATCCTGCAAATTTAGAGTGGAGCCCTGTGGAGGGGCACTCCTCACTACGCGACGCGCTTTAGGCAAAGCGAGGAGTATCCCTCCACCCTGCTCCCGTCTAAACTTTTGGGATTTGTAACACGGCCCCTAGGGCTCATTTAGGAAAAATAAATTACACGTGTCAAATGAAATTCCACAAAGGACCTGCATAAAAACTTTTAGCTCAATCAGAGGGGGGAGGTTCTGACCTCTACCCATGCTAGAAAATTAAGTGGAGCTATTTTCATCTGTTTAGCTGCTTCACTTCCTGCAAAAAAGATTGCATTGCAAAACAATTGTTCCTACAGTCTAAGACAGGGGAGAATATTTTCATGAATTCTCTACCACTAATGAGAAGGCTCTAGACTTATTCGCCAAAGTGTTAACATACATCGATTGAAGTTGTGAGAACAAGACCACTGAGCACGGTTTTTGAAAAAACTGAGGAAGGCTTTCACACCTTCACGCAAATAAAAGACTGGTTATATTTTGTAAAAATAATAATTTTTTCGATGGTAAATCCAAATTTAAAGCTTAAAAATTTCAATTTCAACTTTGCATAATCGATAAGGCACCAGGTAAGACTGTAACTTTACTCATTTCTTTCTAAAAATCGGGAAAAATGCATTTAGTATGGTATAGTTTCCACTACTTCAACTGTCTGAACACAAGGTATACTTACAAGCAAGAGAAAGTACTCAGTATCCTTAAGTTTTGCGTCAAACTCTAGGAATGCTTCCAAACTCTGAAACGGCAAGTTATCCTTGAAACCATCCGGAAAATCAAGATCTCCCCACTCTGCTGGGACTGGTTCAAATGGACTTTGCTCCGAACCTTTTTTTCCCCTTTTCATCTCCTGTACCAGATAGTTTAGATCACCTGCAGAGAGTAAACAAGCACAAATTTTAAAAAATCAGAAAAAGTAAGTAATTTCATTTTTTATTTTTTGTGAACTTCAGCACAGAAAAAATTATTGAAGACTGCTCACAAAAATCGAAGAAGATATCCATTGTTACCATCACACCAGTCAAGATTAAAGATGTGATGGCGTAGTCTTTATAAATGAGTCATTAGAATGAATTACTGATTTACCTCAGCTGTATTCATTTTAATTTTATAAATGATGGGAAGGTTTAAAATAATTGATCTTGAAAATTTTGTTGATGGCAAAAAAACAATAAGTAGGAAGAGTGTAAAAAGGGAAATGATAAGACCTGAACAACTGAAAAATAGCAGTTAAAGGAGCAAATGTCACTCACCAGAGATAGAGCAAAGGGCATGGAAAACTGCCTCTCATTCTGAGCATTTGAGTCGTAGCGGACAGAAATGCTTAATTTTTTTCCCCGTTTTACAACGAATGTCTACCACCGTACTGGGTTTGCTTTTCTTGCTTGAATTCTTGCTTGAACTTGGAACTATATTTTGTGAGACAGGGCCTAGATCAGGTGCAGTGCTCTCTTCATGATGGTCTTTGTTCCTTGGCGTACTCAAATCGGAAGGACCATCTGCATTAAATGCCATAAAAGAAGAGTCAAAGTGAGGACTTTCATCACGATCATCTCTTAACGGCTGAACTGGGTGTTTTATAAGTGCGGCACGCTGAATTTCATCTAGAACAGAGCATTTGTTTGGAAGTAAAGGCTTAGATTGGCCCGTTTTGGGGACATTCTTATGCTGGGTACACTTCGGTTTACTTGGGACAAGACCGCCCATATTTTTTGCACGTTCACCTTGGCTTGAGTTGAGTCCCAATGCTGGAGGCTTTGGAGGAGGCAGATTTCTGGTTTTTTCCATGACTGTTTGAACAAATGCCTTGGCAGCCATTGCTTTAGCTTCAGCTTTCGTTGGCAGCGATTCATCGGCTGAAAATTCATCTCCAGCAGAAGCATCATCATCATCATCGTCAGAGAATTTCTTCAAAATTCGTTTCCTTTTTCCTCTCCCTTTTTCCTCATTTTCTGAGGAAGACTTTGATCTTCGACCATGGGCCTTCCTGATACAGGCCTCGTATGCATCATCAAAGTTTTCTGAAAAAAAGAAAACGAGAGGAATAAAAAAGTGCTAGAAAAGCATTGCACCAAATTTATTTAACAGTTTTACACAAGATATACTGGGATTGTGTGGTTATAATATCCGACACCCATCAATTTCATGACTGCTACTCGGAATAATCCGGAAGTACTGTTAAGTTTTTTGATCGTGTAATCAGCACCGTGAGCCAACTTGACAGTATCCTATTTCAAGAAGCATCGCACGGTGCTTAAGTCCAATTCCCAATTGAAAAATGTGAAAAATGTCAAGGCATCCTGAAATGGTTATTTTCAATAATTTAAAAGATGTTTTCTTAACTCCATTAAGATACCTGAACTTTAATATCGCATAACTTTATTTTCAGTGTTGCAAAATTTCCACTCCTGTTTCATTCTTTGAAAAGAAAACTAATGAGTTTTATTTTTAGAACTTGGAATGAATTTCCTTCACTTCCTGGAGGTCAGCCTTTAAAAGTATTATGGAAAAAAAGCCGAGCAATAAAATACAACTAAAGCAGGAATGTTTAAATGCTGCAAAGTAGTTGTGTGCTTTTCAAACCACCCCTTGATTCAGTATAGGACGCATCAAGATTATTTTTTGGAAAACAATGAGGCACTTTCTGGCTCCTTCAGCTAGCAGCCCCAATTAAGAGTACTATCAGCCTTATACCACAATTCACCAAACCAAAGTTGAAACAAATTCCTCCGGATAAAATGTCTTTCCTGACAGTATCTAACTACCTGTCAACCACTTTATCATACAAAAAGAGAAACCCTCCCAAGTCTCAAGACTCAGGAGCGTTTTTCTGGAAGTCTGCGACTTGTCGCTTTTTGTATGATGATGTGATAGAGCAGCCTGGAAACTAAATTATTATTGAGATATATTTGTTTCATTAAGATTGACTTACCATAGGTGGCTTTACACATTTCAATATCCAAAACCTCAAACTCATCGTCGCTATCTATGCGATCTCCATTTGTCGCCATACGAATGATTGTGCCCTTTCTTTGAAGAGGATACCTCAGAACACCTGGTTGCTGTATCCAAGAAACTGGAACAGCATCATACTCCCCTTCTTCACCATCTACTTTGAGTTTTTTAACAACAGCCCACAACTTCTAAATGGAAACAAAAGGAAAACAAAGGTTTAAATAGCCTTGCGCCTGATAACGAAATTGACTGACATATTTACAGAAGCTTTATGGTGAAATTAAATACTGAAAATAATTTTGGATGGATTCAGCATGGAATGAGTTACTTAAATGTCTTGTTAAGATAGAAGAACTGTCATGAAATGATGTTGAATGTTTCATCCATTAAGTTTTGACTTCAAATATACTTTTGATTTTGTGGCTCAGAGGTAAAACACTACGCGATTATTTTGAGATAAATTGGACAGTGTTTGACCAAAAGAAATCACAAGTACATATCTAAGGTTTCCCATTGTGTCTCGGTTCCTTTTGGCAAAATTCAGTCTAATTATCGTTATTTAAAAGGGGTTGTGCCAGGAGAGTAAAGAGATCTTTGCCTTTTCACTATTTTTTTTGTGTAAAACTTTGGAAAAAAATAAAATTCTGATCCCAACTCTCTCTGCGAGCAACTGGTTAGGCGTCCAAGTCATCACAGTATATACCTAGTGAGGTAAAGAAGAATGTATACTTACATTTGATGATGACATGTTAGTGGAAGGCGTTTCATTCACTCTCCATTATTTGGTGCAAAGTGGAAATTTAGCACTAGTAACTTCACTGAATGAATTAGTCAACTGAGAAAATAGACAAGAAAAATTTAAGACAATGCCAAAAAGAATAAATACTGAAATGAATATTAAAAGATACAGCACCAATAAAATCGAACAGCTGAACATTTACAGACTACATTTAAAATAAAAATCCGACAGGAAGTAAACATTCAACTGAAATCAACTCAATTTTGACAACAGAAACAACTAACGATAAAGGAAATCAATAAGATTAATAGAGAGACAGAGCGGATAATTCCGAGCGGACATAGAGAAGCGTCCCTAACACCTAACCTAATCAAATTTTCTCTTTGCATGAAATGATTTCGAATATATTCAGGCAAACTAAATACAATGCAGCAAAGGAAAAAGGATGAAATTGCCATTGTTTTCTGGAAGAGCCACATATTGGGCAGAAATCAGTGAAATTTTCCAATACCTTATGTCCGACAATCTTCTACCTTTGAAAATACCGAAGAAAGAACTATCAAGAAAAGGTTCACTATAGAAACTATGCAGGTCAGTAAAACTCTTACCAATCAAGACAACCTCCCCAACTTCATTGGAAAATGCGAAATTCTCAGCTTTGACAATAGTTCCGTCTGATAACCCACAATAACAATCTGAATCATTTAAAACTGAAATAGTAAAGTTAGGAAAAATGGCTTTCTTATATTGCGGATTCGTACAGAAGAGAGGAAGCGGCCCATTTTCGTGCGGACTCTTAAAACATTGCTCTGTTGTTTGGGAAGGCCCGTACAATTTTTCTGCCGCTTTGCCATGGCTCCTTTCATCGAGGCGTTTACCTAGTTGCTGCAAAGATCTTGCCTTACCCCTTGCAAGTGACTTAAGCTTCCCAAGGAAGTTTTCAGGTGGCCAAGTGGATATATACAGAAGCGAAAAATCTGAAGGTGAAAAGTATTGCGAGAAATAATCAGCGTCATCTACAATATGAATGAGTGAATGAAGATTGGTCACCATGAATTCCGGTCCATAGATGTGAGGAGTTGACTGCACAAAACTGAGAAGCAATTCTCTAGCATATTGGCGTAGTTCTGGGTTGGCACAATGTTTGGCACAGAAAAGAATAGTTGCAGCAATATGCAATTTCAAAAAGTGGTCGTATTTTTCAGAAGATAAATACTGCTTAAGGATTACTGGGCCAACATACAACAGAAATAAACGAAATTCCTTTGCTTTCCATTTTAAAGAACATTTGTTGGATTTCTTACGAATGGCGATTTCCTGCAGTTTCCTCGAGAACACAGAAGGAATATGAACTTTAAGCTGGCCGAGTTCATTTATGAAGGACTGGCGTTGGTTAACATCAAATTTATGAGGTCTTTCACCATCTAACCACGTCAATACAAAGTATTTTGTGGTCCCTAAAAACATTAAATGCATCCCATCTAACACAAACATACGACCAAAATCTATTTCTTCAATCTCCTCTAAGGGGGTTGATTTGTTGGCAGGGCGATACGCAGGGTCTGCCCTATCCCTAAACTCTTGATCAGTTCGCGGCCTACAATCTGTTTCTAGGTAGATCCTTTTATTTCCATACGTTATGCCAACAATCCAGCAACGCGAACAACAGCTGAAACCACCATGCCCTTTGACTGCCATTATAAATTCTCGTGCTGGAGCATCGCTACTGAACCCTAAGATAGAAATATTAATTAGGCGCTCCTCAAACTCATATCCATTATGTATGAGCTCAATCAATTCGTCAACGAAAGGTCTCAAAAATAATTCGAGTGACTCAGGTTTCTCTGGACCCCCGTAGATACTAATCGGAAATACTGAGGTTCGCAAAGGAGGAATAACAGGAAAGTACATAGCAACAACCCAGATTTCATTGAAACTACTTTCACGCAAAGACAAGGCATCGATATTAAATAATGGACGAAGAGAGTTAACAGAATTTGGTAGGTGAGACAAAACAAAATTTAAATGTTTCCGGATGCCGATTTGGTAGATATGTCCAGGAGGGACTTCTGACAAGTCCACTTTATCCTTACAGGTGTTTAAGATCGTCCGAGCATCAATATGCATATTATGGAAACACTCAGAATGACAATCTCTGAGCCTCTTGGCTAAATCACTGAGCGCCGAATGGGTGATATTATGATCTAGCGCCCAATCCCTAAGTACTTCCTCAATAATAGAGGCCGCATCAGCTGGCTCATCGATATTGTCACTCTCATCATAAATAGACCCCGATGATGATTCAGTCTCATGATCAGACCCTGTGGAATTATGATTCGATTCGGCATCTGATGCAACCGCAAAATCCAGCGATTCCTGCGGACTTGCTGCCATGGAAAGTGAAGATTCTTCATGATCCGCGAGAGAACTGGGAGAATCGTCATCATAAGTAGAGGAACTTGAAGAAGGAGAGTCAGATGAAGAAAAGTCAAAATGAGCACGTCGCCTTCTTCGCTTAATGGTACTATACGACTGGTTAGCAGTATCTCCAGGGCGCTTGTAGTTCTCACACATAATATATGAGTAAAAACAAAGAAAGCTGACCAAGGATAGCTCTACACAACAATCATACTTAACGGGTCAGAAATGGAACATCATGCCAAGAAAATCGAGGCAAATAAAAAACAAAAACCTTATTACCTTACACTGTTCTTGGCGAAGCCTACCGGGATCCTACGAACGAATACAACGAAGAATGTGCGAGGGAAGATCAAAACAAGAAACTCAAATCACTTCAGTGACTCCTGTCAGCACAAAATTTTCACAACGGTAATGAAAATCACAAAAATATTACTTAGTGGCACTTCGAAAACCGGAAAATTTGAGGCATGCGTCCCTCGTTGGCGTAAATGGAGGGAAGTGGTAACGCGGTTACGCGGTATTTCGCGGTTATCTATCGCAACAGGTCACCCATCGATGTCCCGAACGCACCCGAAAACGGCCCGGCGCGCGCACGTCTTTTGATCGCCGTCGCGCGCGTTTTTCAAAATTAGCGTTGAAAATCGGTCGAAATTGTGAAAGTTTTTATTCGAGTATAGAAATATATGCATTTTTCAGATTATTTTTTACTTATTCTGATTGACATGAAGTTGAATTCACGGTCAAAAATATATTTTGTCAAAACTCGATCAGATAAAAAATAAAATAAAATGAAACAAAACTAATAAAAAAATAAAAAACAAAATATAATAAAAAATAAAAATAAAATAAAAATATACAATAAAAATTCTTCATTTAAAATTGAAACAATGTTACTCCTCAAATTAAGAGAGAAGGAGGGAGAGCGGAGAGGGTAGAGGGAAGCAGGGAGGGAAGTGGGGAGAGTGAGAGAAAATCACACTAAAAATTAAATTTCAGCATAATGTAAATTTTAAACCATTTCATTCGCGCGAAACAATCGGCTACTCAAAAACAAAATATAAAAAAAAAATTAAGGAAGTATTAGGTGAGACATTTAAGTCGAAAAAACTTTAAAACAACTAGAAAATTGGATGCCAGGCACATGGCGTGAATTTGTTACAACATGATTGCACCGAAATTGCAGTCTTTATAGTGCCTTGGAAAAGAAGGTAGGCAACAAGCATAACCTCCATTTCTTGCAAACTTATTACAATAAAATTGCAACTTTTTAAGCGCCTTCAAATGAACGTATAGGCAACAAGCAAAAATTGCAATCAACTCACAATCCATTGCAATAAAATTGCAATCCATGCTACTTGGGTTATTGCTCCAANGCGTGAATTTGTTACAACATGATTGCACCGAAATTGCAGTCTTTATAGTGCCTTGGAAAAGAAGGTTAGGCAACAAGCATAACCTCCATTTCTTGCAAACTTATTACAATAAAATTGCAACTTTTTAAGCGCCTTCAAATGAACGTATAGGCAACAAGCAAAAATTGCAATCAACTCACAATCCATTGCAATAAAATTGCAATCCATGCTACTTGGGCATTATAACGCTTGGATGCAACTAATCGGACACCACGGGTGTCCATGTTGCATACCTACGCAAGGAAGTAAAGACGTTTTTGCTCACCGGGCACTCGCCGCTTCATCAGCGCAGCGCCGCGGTGGGCTGTATTGCGAGGATTCAAAATGATACAATGCCCTCCATTGTTCGTTTAAACTATAAGAAGATATCTCTAAAGCACGAATACAGATCAATACAGGCTCCACAGATACGAAATACAGGCTCCACAGATCTTGTTCAGCACATCGCTATATCAAAACCGGAGCACTATGGATACTCACATCCTACGCAGGTGTGCAACTATTCCTGCATAGTGACTTCCTTGCAGTGTAAGTAAAGGATTTTTCGGAAGTTCTCTGCTTCTGGATTATCGCAGTACGCGAGGTTAATCGGAGTCACGGTAATTTCGACCTCCCCTCAAGAACCGCTGTATGAAAGCAGTGCATCGCTCAAGCGCAAATCTCCGAAATCGATAGCCCAAAACCACAAACGGGGCGATTCGCGCTTATGGTCCGTCGATTTGGGGGATTATCGCTTTATTGATGTATCGATCGATATATCGCATCAGTGGGACTGGCGCAAAGTTAGGTCACACGCGACTGCATGAAACCTGCACGGGGAAAAAATGGATTGCTGTTTATTAATTTTGTAGTTAAAAAAAAGTGTCAGGAGTGTTTCTAATGCACAATTTACAATAGTTGAAGCTAATTTGACCACGGGGGTGGTTAAATTATCGTTTTTGTATTGTAAAATCTACATGGAAACATGTTGGACACTTCTTTTTAAATCAGCAATTTCATTTTTTCCCGTGTGCAAGATAACCTGGTATGATCACGCATCCCTTGGTTGAACCTTAGCGCTGGATGCTGGACTTTTGACACAAATCAATATCGCCTCAGTGACGTTAGAACCCCTGTAATAGTATGAAATTTGAAAAGATTGTTATCAATAAAGGCGTTGCGTGTGTGATCGTCGATGGTTGTAAGTATCGTCAGCGAAAAATGCGGGACGAGAGTGTCTCGAGGAGGTGCGTAACAAAAAAGCGTAATGAAACGGTGAAAAAGAATGCCCACATTTTTTCATTCCCACTTAACTTTTGGTTTCTTTAATTTGCACTGCGTTCGATGCATCGAAACTCACGTCTGTACGATCATACGTCTAATCGATACTCATTTGCGTTTTTGGGCCATAGAAAAATAGCGCCCATGCGCTATCGATTTCGGAAATGTGCGCTTATGAGCTGTGGCCGTATTGAGATTGAGCGTTTTTGCAGGCAAAGACCCCCTACGATGAGCAGGCGAGCAGGGCCTCCGTATCTTCTTCTTCGGAGCGGGAGTAGGTGGTGGAGCGTGCATGAAGCTCGCTCGGACTCCATGACTATGCTCTGTTGCTCTCTCCTCTCCTCTACTCTTTCGCTCATAATGGCGCCAAGCACAAATTTCACTCTCGGAGAAAAATTAAACTGCTCAGCTCAGGGAATTGACCTTTTTGATTGAGATAAAATTTCTAAAAGTGTCCAAACCAAGTCCTAACCAGGGTAATTCTCAAAATTCTTTGGTAAGATATTTTTCTGATAAAATTTAAGGATTAAGGAGGGAGAATCTTTAGAATTTCTGGAGAAATCATAACCTTGTGTGGGGGCCCCAGCGTTCTGAGGCATTGAAATTAATCTTAAACGTACCTATTTACATTTTGAATTTTGATGGAAAATGAGGAGGGGGAAGAAGATAAATGAAGCCCCCCACTCTGCTTTTATGTTGCTTAGTACATTCTGTGCGCATTAGAGGAACTAGTTTGAGGGAAGAAGGGGGATAAATCTCACCCTCTCCTGACTTCCTAAGAAATATGAGAGCTTTTGCTGACAATGGCTGTGTTGCAGCTTTCATTGTGGGAATTATAATTGTACCAAAACTATTTCAATGTAAAGATGAACCATCAAGCTAAAAATTTAACTTAACATTCGCACAAATGTATCAATTTTTTTTTGTGGCACAATGGGACAACTTCTGGAAACTTCCTGTTAAAGGTAACGAGGCACTTATTATATTTCTTGAAAAAATTGCTAAAACAATATCTGGGGACATTTCTGCTTTTGATAACTTATACCCACAAAAGTACATGACGATCCAAAGAGAGGTAAATTTTACCTGTCAGGCATCAAGGGGTGAAATATGGGAGCATTAATAAACAGCATTAGGTACCTAAGATGACATTTTACATTGGAAACATGATTATTTAAATGATTAGATGGATTGGGTGGGGAGGCGGCGGACGATAGGATGGGTTACTTATTGGTTTCTGAGTTCCCGTCGCGCCACGCAGCCATCTTGCCTGCTCATTCGAGGGGGTCTTTGCCTGCAAAAGTAAACATCCCGTATTGAAGTCATCTCTGAAAAGAAGAGAAACAATATTATTATTTTTCATTTTTCGCCATCCCTCCTACCCTCTCCCCCATCCCCTCCGCAAGTTGAAGTCGAGGTGCTTTTGCATGGTTGTGATGAGGCACGGCTGGTCTGATTGTGAGCTTGCACCACTCCCACCTAGCGTAATTTAGTAATTGAAATGAACGACTAGAGGCATGTCTCGAGAGACTTGCCACATTCCCGCGGAGTTCGGGAAAGCAACGAATTTTCCTAGCAGGTAATTTCCGGGCGCTCGAGGCAACACCGACCGGAGGCTCCTCTCCTGAATGGTCCCCGTGCTTCCCGTATATTAACCTATACAGTAAAATCAATTATTACGAGCGCCCCGTCCGGAGATATATCTTCACGGACGCTGTTGTCAAATTTCACTCCGTTTACCGACTTGGAAACATGGACTTATTTCTCTGGTGTTTCTACACTCGGGCAGCTTCACTTTTTCGAGAATACACTATTTCAGTAAACATTCTTGTGATATTCAACGTATCGATTCTCGATGGTTCGAACCACAACACTAGGAAGTACCCTCAGATCCAAATTCATCAGTTAGGAGTTGAATGTCTCAGTTCATTTTGCTCTGAAAAATCATAAATAATGACTCATTAAACATGAAAAATTTTGATCACGAGAATTACTTGGAAGGATACCACAATGCGGGCGAGAGAACGAAGAGATTATGTTTCAGTTTTCATCGGAACTATCAAACAGTACCTAATGTACAGTGAGTGACAAAAGTAGCCCCTTAAGTAATCACTTTACAGCTATGAGCACGGCGGGTATTTCCGAATTACGAATTATTTTTTTTCTTTTAAAGGAGTTTTAATGAGCTAGACTAGTAATCAATAATTCTTGCGGGATTTGAAAATTCAAGTTCCTACCTATCTTGAAATGAATAAAAAAACTTAGCATTTCTTCTCCCGTCCATAATTTTTTCTTCTTTTTTTAGCCATGAATCATGGCTATCCCTCATTAGAATCTCTTTCTAAACGCGAACTAATGATATAAATCGAGTCTTGTTGAAATTGATTTTTTATGATGCAGGGTGCAAGAATCTCAATTGACCTTCCTTGTTTACTAAGTAAACAATTTAGGGTGTTTCAAGGAGAGGAACTATTTAGGAAACGGCTCTACGGTCCAAGGTAATGGTCATGTCCAGATTCAACGTCACATGAAACGATTGTGAAGGGGCATTGACATGACAATGCTCCAGAAATTCACTCCACCGCGAATCCAAAGCATCCGGCTCAGCGTCTCACAGCACGGCCATTCTCCCGGTCGGTGGAGGTGGAGGTGGAGGCGGGTGTAGAATTGTAGATGTTTATCAGCCCGACCGGGAGGGGGAGCGGTCATGGTCGCGGAGAGGGGCAAGGGAGTTCCGATCCGGTACGGAAAGGAAATACGTGTTCACGTCACGTGATGCTTTCTTCTGAACTCCTTGCCGCCGCTCCTCCCCCCCCCTCCCCGACCCGCGTTCCTTCACCGCTCCAATCCCCACAGCCACTCTGAGATTGTTTCAAATCAAAAACCATTAAACAAATCTAATTCCTCGCACTTCAAAGACACCTCGATTGTGTATCTCTTCACGCTCTCACTTGCGCCCTTGCGCACGTTCCGCCCTCGACGCCCGGCCTC